GACTCCTTCGGATAGTGAAGGGTGGGGGATAAATCCAATCTCTTCTTTTACCTCCCAGGGTGTCTGTTGTGGGGAGGGGAAGGGAAAGGAGTTTGTAAGCCACTCTGAGACTCCTTTGGGTAGTGAAGGACGGGGTATAAATCCAATCTCTTCTTGTTCTTCACTTTGCAGCTCTCTCTTAGTACTTTGTGCACTTGCAATTTTGGTGGCAGAAAAATTTCAAACTTTAAGAATATGCCAAATACTACAATTTTTCATGCCAAGTGACAAATAGTTTTGTAAGTTTTTAAAGCAGTTTAAGGCTTGAAAAGGAATTGTTTCAATTTCTCCCAAAACTGTATTTCTATTATTTTTTGAAGAAGACTTCTAAAACTTAGGTGAAATCATCCCCCAACATGACCACCTTAAAAACTACTTCACTTGGCAGCTCTCTCTTAGTACTTTGTGCACTTGCAATTTTGGTGGCAGAAAAATTTCAAACTTTAAAAATATGCCAAATACTACAATTTTTCATTCCAAGTGACAATTAATTTTATAAGTTTTTAAAGCCGTTTAAGGCTTGATAAGGAATTATTTCAATTTCCCCCCAAACTGTATTATTATTATTTTTTGAAGAAGACTTCTAAAACTTTGAAATTTCTAGAAATTTTACATCTTTCCAGGGGGCAGAACAAGCTCTCCAGAGAGCGGCAAGGCAAGAGGTGCCTGATCCTAGAGTAAGAGTGTGTGGAGAACCCCAGTTCCATGCTAGGCTGAGAAGTAAGAGGCCTTCACTCCCACCATTACTCTTGGATGACCCCCCCGCAAAAAAACCAAAACATTTTATTTAGATATTACGTTTTTATACTGCATCCTGTGTGGTCCTGAGTAGCACTAATACCCATGCGCTCTTGAGGAGAGCCTGAACTATATCTGGCAATGGCTAAACATGTTGACAACATGTGACTGGGTCGAGCGATGGGCGTTGCGAAACTGCCCCCTCCCCCCCCCAAAAGCACACACACACTTACTTGGCTTCGTTGTACCTCCCCTGGAAGAAGGAGAAGAGTCCTCTGATGTAGAAGGCGGCAGCCCGCAAACAGTGGGAGCTGGAGGCAAGACAGACACACAGCTATGTAAGGGTACATCGAGAGTAGCAGTGGGAGGTGCGGGGGGTGCAGGGGGTGGACACACGAGTTGAGCAGCAGAGGACGGTTTGGTGGCATAATGAGCTATTTACAGCCAACTCTCATGGGAAAGTCAGACAGATTCTGTACGATAAGCTTTCAGAAGAGGGGCGGAGTTTCTGCTTGGCACGCGGAAGGTCCCAGGTTCAATCCCCAGCATTTCCAGTTAAAAGGACCAGGCAGGAGGTGATGCGACAAACTTCTGCATGAGACCCTGGAGAGCCACTGCCAGTCTGAGCGGACAGTATTGAGTTTTGCTCCCTCTCAGCTGTGGGGTCTTGTGAGCAAAAATCCTACTTTGTGAGCTGCTGGCATTAAAGCTGTGAGTGAGCCATTTTGCTGCTGTATAAATTAGGTTGCTCGGGAGCCCTCCTTCCTGAGCTGAGACAAAAACGTGTGAGCTGGAGGCTAAAAAACTGTGAGCTAACTCACACTAACTCAGCTTAGAGGGAACACTGCTTGTGAGCAAAAATTCTACTTTATGAACTACTGGCATTAAAGTTGTGAGCCAGCAATTTGGCTGCTGCATAAACTGGCTTGCTCTGGAGCCCCTCCTTCCTGAGGAAAGACAAAATTGTCTCAACCGGAAGCTAAAAAACTGAGCTAATTCACACTAACTCAGCTTAGAGGGAACACTGGTACTGACCTCGATGGATCAAGGGCAGATTCAGGTGTTCATGTGCCCCACTGAGATTTCCTTCATTTACCAAAAAGGTTACTTTGGTATCCTTCACAATTTACACAAGCGACTGGATTTTGATGTAAAAACCAAAGTATACCCTACGGGGGATACAGCTTCTCAATCTAGCTTCCAGATCTGCTGTGCAGAAACCAAAGTTTGTGGTCCAGTTCTCCTGCCCTGATCGGATATCTCTTGTCACACTCTTGACAGTACAGATGTCTGGAGCCATCAGCAGAACATGCTACTGTGAGGCAAAGCACCCCTGGCCTCCCCTCAAGGGTTAATGTGAGGAATAACACGCCTGATTCATCCTGCAGGTGCTGTTAATTGGTTTCTTGGCCTAGGCAGTTCTTATCAGCTTCAAAACAAGAGATGGAGGTGGTGTGATTAACTGCCCCGTAGAGGGGAAGGAGAGCTGGGGGTGATGAAGTAATCTTCTGGAAGCTTCTCTAGAGAATGTGCTTTGATTGGATACTATCCTCACCTGACATGGCCAGGCCGAAACTATAATTCAGCTTAGGCCAAGGAGAGGTGTATGCTAGCCGAGAGGCCCAGGCCCAAACTAGGTCCTGCTTGAACTGCAATTGCTAGCAGCGTAGACAACACCTGAGCTGCGGCCTTCAACTCTGGAATTTAAGATCTCTGCTAACGCAAGCCCTGAAGATGTTAGACAGCCGAGATAGCTTCCGTATTTTCTTGCTGCGTGATTTTTAGAGTGATGTGTTGGCATTAGAATAAATTCTTTGTCATCAGAAATTGAAATGAACTTTATAAATCTCCTTAAAATAAATTAACTGTTTGGTTACTTGTGTGCAACGGCCCTGGGGACCAACGGGGTTCAGGCTTGAACTCCCTGACAGCTGCTTTACAGGAAGCTGCTCATCGCCAGCCTTTGTAAAGGCAAGAGGCTGGCCACCAGTGTTCCCTCTCAGCTGAGTTAGTGTGAGCTAGCGCATAGTGTAGCCTCTGGCTCACACATTTTTGTCTTAGCTCAGGAAGGAGGGCTCCAGAGCAAATTAATTCGTGCAGCAGCCATATCGCTGACCCACAACTTTAATGCCAGTAGCTCACAAAGTAGAATTTTCACTCACAAGACTCCATGGCTCAGAGGGAGCATTGCTGGCCACTGAAGGCTCCCAAGCTCCAGAAGGTTGGGCAGGTGAAGGTTAAAGGCTGCTGGGCACGTGAAGCATCTCTGATGTTCATCACTCAACCTTTAAAGAAATCTGAAGTCTGTTGTCCGCTTCCATTCCCCTTGCTTCTCCGCTCCCTTGTCTGTCATTCATTGTTGCTATTCGGGTCCAAGAGAAGCAGCTGTGGGGACCTGGTTCCTATGCTAAACATCTTGCGTTTTCTGTGGGGGTGTGGGGGTGTACTGTAGCAGCAGCAGCAAAGCAGACCTGGACAAGTCAACATCACCCCCTTTCAAACGGGGGGAGGCTGTGGGTACAATTAAAAAAACTGGGCTAATTGCTATGCAACCATCGTGCTTGGCTGCACCCTCAACTGCTTTGTTCGGCCTTAATTGTCCAGCAGCCTTGAAAGTAAAAAAAAAAGAGTGAAGCTCAAGGCCCTGCCCAACACGTCTCACTGTTTTCAGCTGGTTGCCAAGGGCAACCGCGCACCAGCACGGGCAACTGACCTGCCGCGCCTGCGTGTCTACGCGATGGTCTTGTGGAAAGTGCCCGACTGAGGCCAGTAATGCTGCACTATCCGTGTTAGGGAACCACTCCCCTTCACAAAGACGCTGGTGGCATGAGTTAACTGGCTTACGTACCTGACAGGGAAGTTGTGGTCTGGATTTATCCTTTCCAACAAACTGTAAAGCTAGAGTCAGAGAAGAAGAAAACGAAGAAGGGGGTTAAGCATTTGCCAACCTGAGCTCTTGTGCAGCCCAGGAAGAAGACAGGGAACCTGGGAGATGGTGCTAAGGCCACCCACGCAGTGAGTGAGGGCGCTGAAGCGTTTCTGACCTCTTGCAGAACTGCCAGTATCTACACCGAGTGCTACAAAGGGAGCACTAAACACATTAAGCCATTTCTGGCCCTTATCATTAGAAAGATGTGCTCAGCACTGTGTGGGCAATGCCAGCAGAACTCTTAGACCGCTGAATGTATGTTTCACACGTGCTTTACTACAGCGGTACCGCCGTCATTATGTAAATTGTTTTTAATAACTATGTTGTGTGTTTTATATGGATATTTATATTGTTGCTTTATTTATGGCTATCTTACGTAAGCCGCCCGGACCCTGCCTTGGCGGGAAGGGCGGGGTAAAAATCAAATAAATAAATAGATTAGACGGCCACAGAGCTGCCTGATAGGCCAGGGCTTCGAGGCGCTACATGGCGCCTTGACTCCATGACCACCGAAACCAAAGTCAGAAGGAAGAATCACACACGATGTTACACCATCCACGCTGGTTGCACGATTCGGCTTAGCAGCGCCACCGAGTTTGCATTGGCAAATAATAGAACACTGTGCAGAAATGCTGCTTCCTGAATGTCATTCCCGCTGACCAAGTCTTGAAAAAGGAAGTACTTCTTCACCCAGAGAGTGATGAACACATGGAATTCACTGCCACAGGAGGTGGTGGCGGTTACAAGCATGGACAGCTTCAAAAGGGAATTAGTTAAGCATATGGAGCAGAGGTCCATCAGTGGCTATTAGCCACAAGGTATAGATAGGGGCTCTGGGGCAAGTGATGCTCTGTCTTCTTGGTGCT